CCAGTGAGTGGTGATGAACTGGTAAGTTCATGAAATGATGATGCCAGTTCAAATGCAACTCAAACTTTCAAGTGCTGCAACTTAGAGAAGTTTTAAATTAGGCAAAAAAAAAAACACTCCAGAAAGACAGTTAAAGTATTTTCCTTTTAAAACATTTTTAAACAGAAGAAAGTCTGAGAGTCACTCTAGTTTCTTCTGTAGCAGTAATCCTGGTAGCTAAACCTTTTAGAACACCTAGAAATTCTTGGTTTTGCTGTTTACGCAGTCACACATCCCCACTAGGATGTAAACTAGAGAAATGGGACAACAACAACAAGCAGCTTCATATTTCTCTTTTCATCCTTCACATGAACAACAACTTCTGCTTAGCTCTCCCTTTTGTCCCTGCTAATTTTTGCAGCAGCCCTAAGTATCTGACCTGGCAGACTGCCAAGCACCTTTAGAAGATGTTGTGTGGTACTAGCTAAAAACCACAAGTGGAGGTTCAACAGTGCCTTTGTTCTCTGCACAGAAAATGTTTCAGTATTAGAGGTACAACAGCTGGCACAATTCTCAGATTTTAAAGCTATTCAGGCTCTTTCTGATCTGTTTTGCATATCTGTTTCCTCCTTGCCAAAGGCACCCAGACCACATACAAAAATTAACAGCAGAGGCAAATTAGTAGAAAGAAAAGTAAGGGGCTGAATTATATTTCATTAAGATAGTGCTAAAGAAAGAAACAAAACCAAACAAGAAATGACAAGATGTCTTACGTTCAGGTGGAGATTAGAAACGAAAAGGTTATAAACAAGCATGCACGCATCCTGTCCTGTTTATTCAGATCAGCTTTTCTAAAAATAGCTTAAATACATTGTGCACAAGTACTCCACTTTTGTTTTGCTTTTAGTTTTTAAGTGGAAGAAGCACCATATGATCTGGTAAGAATAACTCTGAGTGGTTACAGCTCTAGCAAAAGACAGAACCACGCTCAAAGGCCTTTATTCTCACCCCTCCTCTTGATGCATCTCAGCTTCTGGTGTGCTGAGCATCAGTTTTGAACGTGTGGAAGGTGTTTAGTCTCGCTGTGTCACTAAAATTTTTTAAAACAATTAGGACATCCTCTCAGGGATTGCCTGGGGTAAGTTTAGTACTGACACAATGGTTTTTTGCCAGCTGAGCAAGCATCAAGATTTTACTGTTATTTCACAGTCCTGTAGTCTACCAGCCTCCTGCAAGCAGGTGAAGCCTTTGTCTTGCTCAGAAGTTCAAGCAGGGTTGAAAAATCTCGCATGCAGGAGCACATTCAACGCCAGATAATCACAAGTTATCATTCAGTTACTTTTCTCACTCAGCTTCCTCAGTCCACAGACGTGCTGGGAGCGAGCTGTGCCAGCGCCAGGGTGCTGAGCAGTTACTGTACCTGCTGCAGGACCAGCTGCATCCTCGTCGCTGTTTTTCTCCGTCGCTCCGGAACTTGGCACATCTTCCTCTTTTTCACGTGAGCACTCGGGTGATTTTTCCTCCATAACAAGGCAGTCTATAGCATCAGGCAACAGGAGAGAGAGCTCTTACTGTTCAGTAAACGTGCTGACCTGAGCACACCTGTTTCCAAGACTTTCAGTGCCAAAAGTTCAAACATCTGAGCCCCAAATTAAGGGCTTACCTGTTCCTGGCGCAGTGCTTTCCAGAGAGGATGTAACAACTTCTTGGGGTGAAGTTAAGTGGTCACTGCCAAAACAAAACTCTTTCAAACACTCATCCATATTACAAAATCTTTAAAAAGGCTTTTAAAGGCTTGCACAAAACCTGACCTGGATGGGATCAGACTGGCTGGTAGCACTGGCTCTCCGCAGTCAATCTGAATGGAAAGAGAGAAGAGTTAGTTTCAGGGAAGAGGCTGCCATGTGAGTAGAACATTTGTGTGTCAACATTTTATGCCCAAATTATTTCAGCAGTGAAGAACTAGATGGCAAATGCATGCAGATTCATCCTCTAGTCTGAAGCCACCCCTACATACAGGGCCTAGGTTAGCATGCAATCACCATCAGGAGGGATAACTGTTTCTGCAGAAATCTCATCTCAGGAATAAGATACTGGAATATTGTACTTTGAGATGTATTTTGGCTCCTGATGTCATGTTCCACTTCAACTGCACATTTGAAAATGACCAATGGACCTGGTCCCACATCACTGTTGTATGTTAAAGCTGTGCATCAAGATATACTAATTTTCAAAGGTCTTGACCTCAGGCAGTACAAGTGAGGTGCACAGAGCTTCACTTGGCTGCAGGTGTCAGACTCTTTTAGGTAAATAGAAGCACTGCTGTGAACAGCTCCACCCAGCAGATGATTCAGAACACAGAAAACTTGCATGTTCTGTGGCACGTTTTAGGGCTTGTCACTGAATGATACTACTTTGCAGTATCATATACAACAATCACCCAGCCACTTCAGAAAGCTTCAGGCCTCCTCCTCTGCATGCACACAGCAGAGAGGAATTCAGCAGTTAAAGGCTGGTACTTAGTTTTGTTCATATTCCTTTAGCCACTGCAATGAGGTTCTGGACCCAAGTCTTATCACATCATAGACAAAACCAACATCCTCTTAAGTCTTCTAATATGGCAAAGGAGATACTGAGCAGGAAATATCCCTCTTACTCATTTCACCCTGGGCAACTCCAGCTTTCTCATTCAGCTGACAGATTGGTCTCTCTTCATGGGTGAAAATAGAGGGTGAAACAGAGGTTTAAAGGGTTATGTCAGTAATGATTTGCAATAAACTCCACACACTGCTGAAGAGGAGTGAATAGGGAAAAAAACCCCATTCAAACCCAAACGTATCCTCCAAGCAGAGAAGATAGGAGGCTAGCCAGCTTGGGTAGCTCCCTACAGATCAAGTGTCCAAAAGCACCATTGAAGTGGAGGACAACAGAGAAAACATATCAGAAAGTGACCATCTACATTCTGGTATCTTCCCTGCCCCCTCAAACAGCCTCAGAGGAACCATGAAACCCAGCAGAGTAGATAAGGAGGTGACCAAGGCCCCCAGTCATTTCCAAGAATAACTGACTGCTCCCAGAATCAGTAAGTGCCTTCTCTCTCCCCTCCACTCGCTCACCCATCAGTGCTTGACTGCACTCACAGAGCCTTGCCCCAGCCAGTTGGATGGTTCCTCTAATGCAAATCCAGCCTATTTTTACTCTTATTTGAATTCTCTATTAAGCTTAAGGAAGTACAACATTGCATTTGCTTTGTTCAGGCTATTAAGTCTACAGTAGTATTAAGAAGGAGAAGGTGTAAATTAATAACATGTTGGAATGAAAACAGAAGAAAGTTAGAGGGTTTTTAAAACAAACTGACACACACCCCACACCACCCTAACAAACAAAACCCTCCTTGCATCACCTGGAGCTGACTAAAGCCATGCATTATTCTCCATGACCTCTCCCTCCCCAGCTAATCACATGGTCAGTGGTTTCTATTTGCAATGAAGGGAAAAAAAAAAAAAAAATCTTCAGTTCAGTTTTTAAAATCCCATCCTGACTGTTAGGACTGAACTCCCAGGGACTTCACAGGGTACATGTAAAGAGAAACAACAAGAAGAAAACCCCACATTCCAGATTTCCTAATAAAATCTGTTTGCACAGGGCATTAAAGAATAGTTCTTCCCAATAAAAGGATTGCACTAAAGAAGATCTGGCAGTACATTCCTAAGCACTTTTCCCCCCTCCATCCTTTCAATTAGTACAATAATCCAAGGATCCTTTATCACAACAGACAAATTCTGACCACAGTCTTGTTGAACTCCTCCCCAACAAGAACAACATTTGGAAAGCCTATCATCTGGCTTTTACACTGGGATACGACTTTCACTTTTATGTATCAAAACAAGTATAAAAAGCCCAAGCTTCCTCTGGCTCTCACAAGAGCTCCTTTAATAAACAGCCTCTAAAATCCTATGATACCAACACTTTGACAAAATCATTTGAGTTACTTACACGCTGGAGAGCTCGATCTGCTCAAACACATCTGCAACCAGAGTGCAATAAAAAAAACCCTAGGGAGACTTCTCATTAAACAAGGTTATTTAAATTTCACTGCACGTCACAGTTCTTAGAACAGATACTGGACACAGCCTGTTTTTCTTTTCTCTGGGACAAGCTTTAACACCTTCATTTTCACCCCCATCTAAAATATACACACAAAGTTTTTATTCGGAAAAAAAAAAGGGGGGGGGGGGGGGCAAAAATGGAAAACTACTTTTCTGAGCCCAGTTAGAGTTACAGAAAGCTCCAGAGCAATGAAGTACAGGCATTTCAAAAAACTTTGTACGGCTGTGACTTTCCAGAAGGAGTGGATAAAGAGCCCCTGAGATTGTTCTCTTTAAGGTAGCTTGAGTAGTAGCAACACAAGCTAGGAGTTCCTCACCTGCTTTACCCCAACAGAGCAGTGTGCTGAAATCACAGGCAGTCCCCATCACTCTTTTTTAACCCTCAGTGCACTTCCTGCCTCAATTTGCTGCTACAAGCAGACCACTGCTGCACTCCCAGGTAGCACACATCAGCTGGCACCAGCTGGGGCAGGTCTGAGGTTGCCTGCTCATCAGTCTTGCAAAGGTTATTTCCAGGTTCACAGAAACCACTGACCAATATTCTCCTGTCATCACCACCAACACCAATACTGGAGTTTGCAAAATTAATTAGAAGCCCTGTGTGGCAGGGCTGGGGTCCAGAGTTCCACAGCAAGCACTGTGGCACTGAGCAATCTGGTGTGCTGAGCTGCAGCTCCTCTTGCTGTTGCCACGAGAAAGTCAACTGATAGCTCAAGCTGTAGATACAGGATTCAATACAGTAGTGGAGGTATAGCTGAACACATCAGCTCCAGGGAATTTTTCATACAGCAGAGACAGCATTTTTCAGTTGTTACACAGTAGCTGTGGGAGAAAGTGCAGAGAAAGACAGGGTCCACAACTAAAATATCCTGTGGCTTCTTGCAGTTGGATAAAACTAGCAAAAATCACTCAGACTTCCCTGGCAGAGGTGAGTATTACTGCAGAAACAACTCTGTCTCCAGCCTTGAAACCACATTTAAAATACTCACCAGCACCTTGATGCTCAGGTGCATCACCCAGATGCACCTGAGCATCAAGACATTTGGGTCTATAAATACAGTATTCCAGAAGTGTGCCCAAATAAAAGAGACTAACCCACACAGAACAAGATGTCACAGCACCCTGCTGACCAGGGTGAGTGGCAGCTCCACTCACCTTGAAGCACTACTGACTTATAGCTGCCCAATTTGGACCTGGATCTAAGGCACCAAATACTTGAACCCATTCAAAACCACACCTCAGGCATGAGAGACAGCACTCACCTCAGTAAGTGAAGAGTCCATCACTGGAATGGAAACAGGAAGGTCTGCACCAGTATAGTCACCAGCAGAGCATATTTTCCACCTGGCAATACACATTTTATTTGCATATTGTCCAAAGAACAGTGAGATATGTTGCCCATTTTCCTTAAGCATATAACAACCCAAATCACCACTGTCTGTATTGTCAGACATCTAGTCTCTCAGAGAAACAAATTCATCACTAACACCAATCCCTCCTCCCCCAAACAGCAAGAACCATCACCAGTCCTCCTAACCTCCTCCACACTGAGCAGTTCTACAGAAAACCAGTGACAAAATCTTCAAGAGCTGCTGAGTCTTTTGCTGCAGACTGCCTGCCTCTGCATCTTCAGGAACATCCTTATCTTTTAAAATATCCACCAACAATAGTTAGCTAGCTTTCATAATCTTAAACAGTTCAATCTCTGTTTTAAAGACCTAAGGAGGCAGCTTGATAAGCAAAACCCTCAGAATTCCTGTTCTAAACTCTGCAAAAAAAAAAAGTGACTCCTCCAAGCCAATAGGATTTTGGGTCCTAAATGGGGGTGCCAGTTGCAAGTTAAATATGGAAAACAGCCACAAGAAGAGCTACATCATCCCTCAGTTCTCCATCACGAAATGGAAACATCATCACTACATTTGGTTGGTGGTCATACAAAGTGTCAGTAAAAAGTTTCAATACTACTTCTGTGTATAGAATCAAAGTGTTACCCCATAACACTGTTAGCTGACCACCAAGTGTTCAGGATTTCCTATAAGGAATGCCCTGTTGTAGAACTAGCACGTGCTGGGCATACAGCTTTCCCAACAGAACCCACCAGATCCCGTGGACTCTTCTACCCTTCACCCCAAAGAGGTTATTCTGCCATCTTACTTGCATCCCACTGATGTCACATCTGAAGAGAATGTGTGTCCCAGCTGGCAGCTGTACAAGCTCTGTCTGCAAGGCCTGTCCCAGTCACACACAGAGTTCTTCAGGCATGGGGTTTCCAAAGTCAGAGCATCTGTTAGAGAGACAAACATGAAGAGTGGTGGCCATTGGCAAAGTTGGATTTAGTCAGTGTCAATTTTTCACTAAGTCTAAAATAATCAAGAAGCAGACCAACCAAATCCAGATTTATAATCAAGCAGCTTCCATCTTCCCATGAAAGTGTTAGGTTATTAGCCTTAACATATTTGTAGATGGAAAGTCTGTAGCACCTGGGGATGGAGCTTTTCCATCAGCCACTTTCTAGAAACTTCCATGTAGGCCAGCTTTATTGTAGTGAGGAGTTGTGTGTGACAGAAGGCTGGGAAATAGATCTGTTTTCTCTCAGTACATGATGGGCAAGCCAAGAATACTTGCCTTATTTGTGGCTGGATCACCATATTACTGCAAGATGCAAGAACCCTCCAAGCTGGCCCATAGAAACAGCCCTTTCAGAGCAGCAGAGAGCTCTGAGCTTCCATCTCCCCAGCACAGCACAGAATTACTTCTGAGCATTTTAAAGTCTGTGTGAGAAGTGCCCCTGTCTTGTGCCAGCTTTACTGCTGGAAGAAACACTTTGCCTACAAAATCCCCCATGCACTCTGCAGTCCTGTGGCCCTGCCATGCAGATCTGGCAGTGGTTGCTGTAACACTCACACACCTTCTCAGGCCTTTCACTGCAAGCACTGTAAACATGGTTCAGTCTCCTGGATTACATGCAGAAATGAGCTAAAACCAGTGATAGATTTTCCACACCCTACCAGCACATGTAACCCATTTGATTCTGTTCTCTCAACTCTTCCTCTGTTTCAGAAGAGACAGAAAAATGGCCACCAGCACCAGGTCTTACCTAGCAGAGGAGTGCTATGCCAGTATGAAACAACTGAGTGCAGAGTCCTGGGAAGTTCAGTGCACAAGGTGGGGCCTTCACTCCACAGTTGTTTAGAGCAACGGAGCTGCTAATTGAAAACCAGAAAGTGCTGCTGTTGTTCAATCACACTGAATACATTAATGCCACCAACTCCACACCCACACATGTGCAGATGCATCTGCATAATGTAATACTAACAGTTAGACAAATACATCATCTGCTGCTTTTTTTGTGTAGAAAAGCTCATGTCCTTAATGGACAGAACAGATATAGGAAAAAGTAGAATAATTCAGGTTTACATTTGCAAGAGATATGTTGGTTCAAGCCAAGTCTGGAGCTAGATACCACAAAACCAACCAGGCAACAGGAGCAGGACAGGAGAACAACAAAAAAGCCACCCAATCAAACAGGTCCCATGAAATACAAAAAAAAAAAATAATTAAAAAATTCCCTTTCTGCCAAAACAAGTCAACCAGAGAGACTGAGAAGGAAATGCTACACCAGGCAGATTTCCCTTAGCGGGAGCAGGAGAACAGCTCCAGCATGGCTGCATGGAGATAAAGCACTGTCCCCACCATCCCCTGCCCCTGAATGCACATCACTTGCTTGTTGGCTGGTGCTGAAGTCATGTCATCTGAAGGTGGCTACAGGAAAGTTCTGAAGCAACACTTACACAGCTGCATTTGACTTAATGTTGCTTGAGTGATGAAAAATGGAAAGGAAATTGGAAGATGCAGCCCCATTTTCAGTTTCTAATCCTTCTCTAAAATGAAGTTTAATCAAATGCCTGAATTTTGTCACAGTGATTATTCAGAAGCAAGGGGAAACTGGTTTTGAAAATACTTTGGTATGTGTCTATACATGTGCATGCATAAGTATATAAATACGTAGCTCAAATTATTTTTACTGAATGGCAAAATTTCTCACAAGGAAAGTTATTTATTTGCTGCATGTCATGGAAAAACAAACAAACCATCCACCCCAGGATCATACTGTAACAGGCTCAGCAATAGTCACAGCAAGCACACTTACCTTCCCTTTCACCAGCTCAGCTGACGTGGGCAGCAGACCGTAGTCAGATTCTAACTCTGCATAGCACTGTTGCAACAGAGAAATAGTTAAAAGCAGACAATATGGGGGAAGCAGAAAAAAAGGAGCAGCACTACTACTGATTAATGAACAAAATGAAATTTTACCTTTCTAAGTAACTATTTTCAGTTATCAGGAAAACTATGCTGTTGTTTCCCCTTGCTACTTTCAACCTTTAATTCTGCAGACCTTCATGCACAAACAAGTTTTATTCACATACGGCTGGTCCACAGTTTTGATTCTGCTCTTCTAATGCCCCTGCTATAACCTAGGATACATTTCAGGACCTCCTGTCTGTCCTGATAAACCCCTTGTTACTCTATGTTAAATCCAGACCATTCAGACCTGAGCTACAGTGTTCCTTACTAGAGCTGATTGGGGAAAAAGGAATCTTCCCAAAATGTCTCCCCCTCCACCCCCTTCCAAACTTGAGGAAAGTATTTTTATTCAAAGTAAAGCACTCTAGAGTTATATAATTTCCAACATATTTCCACAGAGGGGCACAAAGGCAATAACTGTTTCACTGCCTATTCCAGTGTCTGGATACCAAAAAATATTTATTACAAGATTTTAAACATTTGTTTTTGAGACTGTTTGCAGAAGAGAGGGCTGATTGTAGGGGACAAATCACACCAATGCATCAGGGAAAGCTTCTCTCAGCCCCATTTGATATGAGTACCAATGATGGTTTACAGTGGAGACTGACCACAGCTAGTTCTAGCCCATTTTTTCCAGAAGGCTGAAGAATGAAAGTAATGTGCAGATCAGTACATACAGTTTATTGCCTCCACAGTTATAGGCACGTTAGATAAGAAGAAATCAGATGCTGCCAGATGACTTGCAGTTCATCTCAGCTGTAGATGGCCTTTGAGAGCCCCTCAAAGCCACCCCTACCTTTTCTTCTTCCACCAAACAAGCATCATACCTGACACAGTAATTCACAGAGGCGCCTCTGAAGCAGTTCCCATTTCAGTGCATTAAGAATTACTGTGAGGAGACATAAGGAAACCTGTAAGACTTATAAATTTGATAACAAGCAGACAGATGTTATAGTGCCTTTAAACCTGACTACTGCCCATCAAAAACCTGCTGTACTTCATGTTAGTCTAGTTTATCTACAACAGTTTTTCCCAGAAAAGAGAATTTTAAAACTGCAAGTTCCACCCTACAGAAAACACTGGACACTGTCTTCCCTGGAGTTATGTTTGCCCTTGCTGTAAGGGGGCCTAGGAGGACAATGCTTCCCCACACTGACAGCATTAAGGCGCCACAGTTCCCTGTGGAAACTGATGACTCCATTATGACTTATTGGAAGAGCAGCATTTGTGCTTCCCATCTGGCATCCTGTGTGGAAATTCTAGTCAATGGGCTTTGTTAACCTTAGAAACATTCTTTGTTCAAGTCTGGTCATGCCAGGGCCTGCTTCTGGTGACTTCTACCTTGATGCAAGTCCGTCATAGCTTTTGTATCACAGCTAATAGAGAATGGGGCTGTGAGTGTAAGGAAATTGCATTAACACTGTCACTTCAGCATCCAAGCAAAAATTGGAGACAGCTCCCAATAGTTTGTTCAGCTTTTTCACTGGATGTAGCAGTAAGTGGCAAGGCATGATCAGACAGCAGAAACAGAAGGAGCTGTGCCAGCTTGCCTTGAGTAGTAGCTTCCTTGGTCAACAGGTTCCCTAATTTCTCATCTCTTATCATGCAGGTGGGAGGAAGTAGGGGAATGGAGTAGGTCAGGGAGAGACCACAGCCCAGCTCTTCAGTCAGAAGGGGCACTAGACCTGTCTGACCTTCTGCAGGAACCAACATAAAGCATTGTCCTCCCCCACTGCCATCCTAGTTTGTCAGCCATGTTCTTCATAACACTTTGCAACTGCTCTACACCTCATCTACCAGTTTCTATTTAGCTATAGAAGGATTTCTCTAAGCTACCTGGAGTCATTTAAGGCCAGTCTCGGCCAGTTTTCAGGGAGGAGGTGGTTAGGGGTGGAGGGGCTCATTTTGTTGTGCGAGTTTTTTTTGTTTGCTTGTTTTGGGTTTTGTTTAATTTTTTTTTGAATCACAGTCACACCAGTCTCTTCCACCTGTCTGGGTTCTCTCTCTCTTTCTACACACTCTAGTTCACTTTGCAGAAGAGCCTTGTCTGTTCAGAGCTGGCAAATGACACACTATTTCCATTGTTATGCCTCTTGCTAAAAAACCAACCCCACAGTTTGAAGTAAGCTGGAAACGTGAAAACAACATGAGCACACACATGTGAATAATGCCAAAATATTGGTCAGAAGTCAGCAAGCTCAGTCTGGAGCTGTTTCTGCCACATCAGTGCTTAACAGTTGTGCCTTAGAGCAAGACATAAGGTCCCATGGAATTTTCATACAAGAAAAAAAATCATGGTTTCACAAAGTTGTTTATGAGGTACATATATATATATTTTTTTATTTTTTTTTTATTTTTTTTTTCTTATAAGCAACTGATGTGGCTTTTTCTTTCTGAATTCTGGAGTGCATCATCTACTGGAATCAAACCACTGCACCCCTTAACTGCCTGAGTTTTTGAGGTACTGGTGCTAGCAAGCAAGCAAGCAAGCAGTATGAAGACCCCATGGTTCCAGAGGAATATTTGCACATGCACAATGCAATGACAATTGGTTTCTGCTAAGGAGAACAGCCTAATACCACACAGTTATTCAAAACCACAGAGCAAATACAGCAGCAAGCAGAGCACCGAACATGAAAATCAGGTCTGGAAAATTTGGTATGGGAAGCTTAAGAAAGAGGGACAACTGTTAGAAATAAGGTGAGCTGTTCAGGTGTGGGAACAGCAGCATGAGGAAAGGAGTGCCAATGCCACCCATGGAATTACCAGGACTCCTAGGACTGGAGGTTTTGTAGCTTTGGTCTAGCCCAACAGCCACTCATTGGGATCCCACCTGACTCTCAGCCCAGATGCCATGGTTGCAGATCTCTTAAGGAGAAGCAAAACAAAAGGAAGAAGGGGGGGAGGAAAAAAAAAAAAACCTCCACAGAACATTTTAAAAGATGACCTGCAAATCAGTAGTTCAGTCCTGTTCCCTATTCTCCTCCTTACTGTAACTAAACCATACAGGACTTGCCTATACAATAGTAAATGCTGACACCCTGCCAGCAGTTACTCACTTTTCTGATCTTCCACCTTCTCTTGAAGCAACTGGCAAGTGCTTCTTAAAGCTGCATTCACATCCTTGAGTTTTTGTTGCTCAGAAATGGCTTCCTCTAACTGGTGTTTCAAGGACGTGGCTTCCTCACGAGCAGAGTGAAAGACTTCGACTCGATCCTCCAACTAGGCACAAGGCAACATTTAATAAAGGAGCAGGCAATGAAAAGCTGAAATAAAGCAGCCTGGCTAACACAAGGAGCCTCTACAGCTCGTGCAAATGAAACCAAGCTGCATCTGTTGTTTCTCAGGAAGTGATAAAGCTCCCTCTGAACTTCTGTATTTTTACGTTGGGGTGGACTGTGTATGGAAGCTATTTTTGGGGTTTTTCTTTTTTTTTTCCTTTCCTAAGCCACCACAAATATGCAGTGCCGCCTCTTTCATCAGCAAACTGTTGTCACCACCCCCTCAAATTTTACTTCCTCTGCTAGTTCCACTTTTGCAATGAGGCACTCCATTTGAACATGCAATTTCCTTTCCCAAGAGCAGTGGTGCACTGCAGGGAGCCTTCTGCGTCTCCTTGTTCCCTGCACAGGAGGAACAACGCTGCCCCTCACCTGTTTGCTGGCATCCTCAAGCTGCTTTGTAGCTCTCTGCAGCTCTAAGCCAAGGGCTTCTGCCTGGCCAGCAGTTTCTTCTTGTAGCTGTTTGACAGTTTCTATCTCACGCTGCCTGCAGGGTGAGAGCACAAACCACAATCCTGTCGTTACTGACGTTTCAGAGCAGGCATACCCAGGAGGTGACACATGCTAGCTGTGGAGATGTGCCTCAAGAACCACAGTTAGCTGTTACATAGTGCAGCTCCCCAGAATCCAGCACCAGGGACTCTGTTCTTTCTAGGCACAATTCAACCCAGCTGACAGACAAGGCTTTTCTATAGCAAAAATTTGGGCAAACTTTTGTAATTTTACCAGAAGAATGCATTGACTCAGTTTGGGAGAAGTAGTGATTGGATATAGAGTCAATCATTCTAGAAAAGATACCCTGGAGCTACTACTGCAGATACACAGCTTCTTTAGATGATGGCTTTCAAGGAACCCCTTCTTTTCCACTGCAGAAAAGCTTTGCCTTTTTCTTCCCTAACTCACTTTTTTTCCTTCTTCTTGCTACCACCACAAACAATTTTGATACAAAGAGGTAGCACTAAAAAACCAATCCATCAGTATATTTATCAGCTCTTTTTCTGAGTGAAGGAAGAGCACATGGGAGGTCTACTTTAACAATGTTAAGTGGAAAGCAAGTCAGGCAAGAGTGCAGCATGGCTGCCCCACATCAGTTCTCAGGGATGCAAGGCCTGAGGAAGCTGCTTACACCCCAAACCCAGGCAAAGGCACATGTGCAAAAATCTACATTTAGTGTGGGACAGCAGAAGGCTGACACTATGGACACTATGTGAGGGAGATATTGACACCTGCTGTCCTTTGCTGCCACGTTTGTAACATCAAAACTCATAGCAGGAACCATGTGCCAAGAAACACAAATTTGAAGTTACATTTTCTTATTTAATGAGATAAGTCCTTGAAGTTATACCCTTAGGAAACTGAGGTGTTCTATCTTCTGGAGCTAGCAATTGTCATCTCCCAAAGCAGTAACACCTGCAGGCATACATTTTACAAGTCCTGCTTCACAAAAAAACCAGCAGTTTATTTAATGGTTGCACCTGCCTGATAGGCAGTGCCCTCTTGCTTTAACTGCTCAGTCTGTGGTCTCCCTGGTGTTTTCAAAGGCATCTCGAAGACCCTGTGTTACTTCATACACAAACCTTAACTCCCACGTAGTGTAAACATAATGCTAAAAGCAGACCCACTTGCCAAAACAGCAGATCATTTCCTCTGTGAAAAAAAAAAGTCTTCAGAATTCAGTAAACTTTGTTCCACAACACAAAAAAAAAACACCCAAACATTAACAACCAACAGTGCAGAAAAGACAAACCAAACAAGATACACACATGCTTTGAAGGGGTACCTGGCAGAGAGCTCTTTCCTTAGGTGAAATTGCTCTGTTTTGGTTCTCCTCAGGTTGCCTGCCATTTGAACAAAATCCTTCTCCAGGGATTCTTTGTATTTTCCCAAGAGATGAAGTTTCTGGATCCAAAGGTGCCTTTTTTCTTCTAGTTCTTCCCTGAGAACCTGTGGAATTTTGGAACTGAGTTGCCATGAAGTTACATGAGAAGCAGAACCAGACAAGAAAACCAGAGCCCAAATAGACAAGATGAGAATTGATTTCCCTGCTCCACCACTTAGTATCATCACCTACGTTCAGCACTATCAGCAATAAAAAAGGTGCATGATTAACAGTATTTTGTAGTCTACTCACACAGCATCTGGCTGGAGAAGGGGGGTGGGGTGAAAAATTAATAAGGAAAAATATGTTTTAAAAAGGAAAAGATCATAAAGGAGAAATAGGTGTTTGTTTTGTGCAGCCTAGTTGGTTAACAAAGCTACCTAAACTCCAAACTTGTGCCTTCTAACTCCTGAATCTGACAGGATGTCAAGACAAGACAAGACTCCTGCCAAGTGTTGGTAAATTAAGACTTTTTTTGCAGCTGGAGCAATTCAGAGCAGTTTGTGCAAGAAAACATAAGACTTCTGTATGACAGTTCCATTTGACAAATGGCTCCCACTTTTTTTCAAAGGATTACTACCAAGTCAAAAGCCACCCTCAGCCTTTCTTTCTGGGCAGATCTAGTGTACATAGAGAGTTCTCTTCCCCTTTGGCCCTTGTTTTACAAGTATATAGTTAGCACCTAGGCATGATAAGCACCTAGGAAACAACATGGTGCAGGAGGGAGTCTTTACAACTTACCCCAGAGAAATCTCCACCATAAGATACCCATACACAGCAACAAAAAACCATGTTTCATAAGGGGAAGTTTTATGACCATCTTACAGGAAGGCCTAAAACTGATAATTTAGACTTCTGTAACCCTGTCCTCAAACTAAGTCCACTGGCACCAATTTGAGTTTGTATTTACAGCAAAATAAAAACGACCCCAAACCAAATAAATGCATATTTCATTTTCTTCTGTGTGCCTAGCAGACAATACCTGCCCAAGGGATAACCTCTGTGACAAAAGCTTTAAGTTTTACCTCTGATTTATAAGAGGAAAAAGGGGAAGATGGTAAAAATGAAGTGTTAAGTAACATTGCATCCTCTGCATTTCCCTGAACTGTGACTTGCAACATAAAGCACTCTGAAAGAAGAATCCAGTTCTCTTTCTCTGGCCTCAGTCAAATGAGCATACAGAACAGTGTGCTCAGCTTTTACAGAATGCTTATTGAGTCAAACTGAGGTCAGGTAAGAATAAGGTTCATACTTCTAGGATTTTACATTAGCTCAAAGGGGAAAGTATCCATCCTACAAATGGGGGCCACATGAACTACTTTCAAGTTAGAGTCTAATGTAATTCATGATCCTCAAACAAAAAAAACCCCAAAACATCAAAGCAAACAACTTAAGACATCAAGTATCATTAAAAGCTATTAAAAGAGAGCCTGAGCAGTTTTGCTAGATAGGTTTACCAGGATGACATGGGATGTGACCAAGTGCAGATGCCCACATCCTGAAGGTCAGTTTCTCAGCCAAGGCAGGCAGCACTTGCTTTTAGAAATAATGTGGTTTCAACATGGGTGGTACAGGCTTATCAGGGCACATGTGCCACTTATCTTCCAGCAGGAAAAGGGGGAAAAATGTTTACTGTCACCATCTATATATGTGTAAATAGACATATATATGCACAAATAAGCACAGGCACATTTAAAATATATTTTATGTATTATTTATTTTAAAATATACTTAGTACTAAACTCCAGCAAAAAATGTCTGTAAAACATTTCACAGGAAATGGTGAAGCAGCATTTAGGCTTCAACTGATAACCCATGGTCCAAAATAGAATTCTTTTTTCTACAACAGCTTTCTCCAAAGCTCAAACATGACAAAAGATATTTCTCTCCAAACAGCCATCCCTGACCTCCAAATGGACTGCTATGATCTCAAGTAATCAACATACATGGCATGCAGCAGTAGGGCACCCACCTTCAGTTTTTGCACAGCCTCACTATTTAATAAAACAGCTTCAGAGAAACAGTTACTTACCACAAGTTTTCTCTCCCAAGTCTGCTGCATGTTCACATCAGGATCTTTCAACCATTGTAAAGAAGTCACAACAAGCTCCTCTGTTTCATAGGCTTCCTCTTGCTACAAAAACAAACCTAAAACATAAGCACCTAAACCCCCCTCCAACCCTTGGCATTTATAGTATTAGTCTGACACAGTGGTGCCCAGAACTACCCAGGTTGTAAGTTAGTGTTTGAGTAGATGTCAATGATATTGCTAGAGTAAGTATGCCCCCCCCTTCATCCCTAAAAAAACAGAAGTAAGCATGATCTGATTTTCATTGCTTGGAGAAACCCTAATTAAAAGGCTGATAGAAGACCACACCCTTATTCACAGAAGTTCTGCCACTGACCAGTTTTTGCATGACAGTCTTAAATTTTTCCCCTGCATACTCGGGTCCCTGAAGTAAAACCAGCACTTCACGGTTCAGTGTTTCATCCAGGGACATCCACTCACTCTTGGTAATCTTTGAAGAGATGGAAGAGCCAGCTAAGGTTATTTTGACATCTCCTTATTACAAACCAGCATCAGTGACATTTAGACTTTTCTGAAATATCCCTGCATTGTATTTACCAGAAGGTCAGAGCTACTGAAACTTGAAGCTTTTAGAAGCGTTTCAAAAGCATCATGTCATGGGAATTTAAAAAAAGCAAGCCAGCCAGGCTGCTGAGTGAGCCAATGTAAATTTTCATGTCAGGAGTAGGCAAGCGGAAGTCAATAATTAATCTTTATTCAGAAAAGGCTTCACTAAATGATGAATAAGCGGAGCCCTTGGTTGCTTTAGAGCAGCTAAGGTGATTTGGTGGAATGGTGTCTCATTACAGCAGCAGTGAGGTAAACAGTGACTCACTGGGGCTGGGGGGAGATGCAACAGGGGACAATATTTTACTTCTGAAATGGAGCTGCCTAGCCAAGCACAACTCTCATTTCTGGGCCTGTAGTTTTAGGCCATTGGTAGATTCTCCCTCCCTCCCCCCTACTGCAAATATAACATTTTGCAAATGCAAAGTGAAAAGCAAGTAGCAGCACAGTGAAGTCTTACAAGAAAAAATGCTGCAATAGCTTGTATTTGTTATCAGCTCTGCTGCACAGCTTGTATCTGAGGAGGAAGACAGAACTGTAAGGAAGGATGGGACTCCATGAAACATCTTTAGGGAAACGGGCACAGGATAGCTCAGCCAAAACCATACTGTGCATGTAATTTCCCCCCCCGCCCCGACTAGTTCTCCACTGGAGTGCTGGAAAGCTATGGAAGCAGTAAATTATAGACTAAACTTCCAGTATCATGGGAAGCACCTGATCAAGAGCATAGTTCCCAAAAGCCAGCAAACCACCTGCTGGGTGTTCTGCAGAGGACATAGGGGACACTACAACTCCAAGCCACCAGGCTCAACTGCAGTACTAAGACTTTGTCAGCCTGTGCCAGAGTCATCAGAAGGATGCTGCTCCTGTCCTCCTCCGAGTCCCTATCCAAAGAGCTCAAAAAATAGAGCTGGGCTGGACTTCTAGAGATCAGTCTCCATTGTACCTGCAAGGAAGTGATACCTACAGACAGATGCTTATCAGGATTTCTAAAGCATAAATTAGATGATGACTCTACAACATTGTCAAGGTGCTGATTCTAATGCTTACTTTTCCTTGAAGCCTAATGTAGTGAAAAAGATAAAGAAATCTCCCCTCCTGCACTTGAAAATCATTGTTGGTGTGCAGTGTAGGCAGTAGAAGAAGAAATAGACCATTACTTTCTTCAGCATAATAACCTTTATATAGTTGAAAACTCCTATCTTCTCCTACCAGCCTGTTTTTCTGCCAGCTAAAGGCACAACCCTGGATCTTCCAGATTTACTTTGTAGATCTCAATTTTTCAGACCTCTGAGCGTTCTGTCTGCTTTTCCTTGGACTGTCTCCAGTGTACTTGGGACAATACTGTAACCTTCACATTCTATACTTGCATACTAGGACCAAGGGCTTTCAGTTCCAGGGTTACTACTGAACTACAGGGAAGGAGCTTTGTTCTTTCTTTACTGCTGCAAGACAACTGGGACAAGGTTCAATAAAGATTTGATTCGTACCTCAGGAGACTGAGCGACTTCCAGTTCACAGTGCAGTGAATTCATCTGCTCAGCAGTGTTACTGTTAAATTCACATGATGATGGGAAACTCAACCCATTTCTAAAAGCAGCAAGAAATAAAAAAAAAAGTATCAGCCCTTTTCTACTTTTTATGATCTGGATTTCCTGAGACTTGTCCACAATACTCACAAGATCAGCTCCTGTTGCATGTGTTGCATGTTCTCCAGCAGCTTTTTTTTTTCTGCCCTCAGTGTCTGAAACATACATCACACCTGGTCAAAACGTTAGGCTGCCATGCAGAATAGGCACAGCATACACATGCTTTCCTCTCACATCAAAAACTAAACTCAGGTCCCATACCTCTATTATTGAGGAAAACTCCACAATGGTTAACTTCAGTTCTTTGATGGCCTGCTCCTTCTGCAGAGATTAAGTACACAACTTGACAATTAGCACAATAAAGCGTGTTTGGAATACTTACAGCTATGATGCTTTGCAACCAAAATAACACTATACTCAACCCTACAAAACAGCAGTAAGCTGTACAATTTGAGAAGCAACTTAATTATGTAACAAAAATAGTTGTATGTTTATAAACATACAGTCAATTACCTTGCATACTGGCTAACAGAAAGCACTCAGAAGACCTTTTCTATGCAACTCCTGAAATTAAGGAGACAAAACACTCTCCATGTGTTGTGTTTTAATTTACACTTACCTGCCTTCTTTAACAGCAGTAGCAGATTAAACTAGACAGAAGCACTCTAGTTTTAGCTGAAAACTTGGACTATATTATGCCTATCATGAGTTTTAAAACCAACTGGCCCTAAAATAAGTCACGGCTGATGTACGGTGCAGAAGGTTGAGGTTTTTTCTTTAAAAAAAATATTTAAAGTGCTTTCTATCTTCACATACTTTCTGCAGGCCTGGAAAAGAAAGTCTGCTACAATAATTTTCAGAGACCATCGATCCTGTCTAATCTATGAGAAGGATTTTTAGCTTACAGGTAAGCCCTTATCCCACAGATCCTAGTGTCAATAAGCAAAGTCAGTATTCCACATCAGTTCCTTCAAGATTATACAAAATGCTAACCTTTATCAACAAGAACATGCAACCCAGCAGTCTGCTTTCAAAATTTCCATTTAGGCATAAACTAAAAAACCTTTCTAAAGTAAAAGGTTACTACAGAAGTCACAAAAGCTTTGGATTATTCAAGGAGGAGAGGGGAAGTTATTTAAAAAAAAAAGTTAATTCATTTGTGCCCTTGAGCTGCTTCGGGAAAAGAACAACAACAACACCACCACCACAATTAAAAAACACTTGGCTACAAAATTATCAGCTGGATCACACTGAAGTTAGGTTCTCTCTTGTCACTATTTGAATTCACCTGTATTATTTTTGCAGACAGCCTAATAGTCAAATATTTCATCAGCTGATTTAGACTGTGCTTTGCTAAATAGAAACTCCATTAACCTAGGAGGCTATTTCAATAATTTATGAATCCAGAGAATGCCAACACCCTTATGTAGTCTTATGTCTTTGTTTTCCAATACAGAACATAAATTTAATAACAGCAAGGCCTAGAAAATGACACCTCAGTAATGAGAAAGGCCAAATCTGCTTTTCTATTTGGCTCTGAATCACCATTTCTAGTTTCACACAAAGTAAGCAATTTAAGTAAAAAAAGGATCTTCTACAGGTACATTCCATTACCAACTGATGAAGGAAATAGCCTTTAGAAGTTTATGTACATTTTTTTCCTGGATTTTGCAAGTTTGTTTTAATAGGTTGAGATTTATTTTCCTTTTTTTTTTAAAATACAAGCAAGATCCTGAAACATTTAATTATGCTGACTCATAAGCAGGTCCCAGAGCATCTCTCGCCTACTTTGAAGCCATTTATAGGATCAGGTTCTGTAGTGTGAGAACAGTAGAAATGCAAGTGCCACAGTGAAGACTACTGCCTTGCCTTTTTACAAACCATCCCATCCTCAGTATTTTCAGTCAAGACAGTAATGAAGTCAAAGCAGCTAACCTGGATCAAGCTGTCCTCTTTATTCACCACAGTGCTCTCATAGATATGTGCTTGGATCTAAAGAAATAAAAGACCAAAAATAACTCCAGTCATCAGTATGCACTATAATACAAGTCTGTTCCTATGCCCTACTTGGAAGGGAAAAAAAAGGGTATCAACATTCCTTGCTTAGAAAAATCAAATTCTTCTCTGAATACCTTGCATGGTGTCTTTAAAAGTTCAAATCTCATTCCCAGTTAAAAGTGAAAGAGTTCTCAGCTTTCACAGCTCACCTCTTGTCTGTCCAGGCTAATAGTTTCAGCAACATCAGCCAAAGCATGACTCTCTAATGGACCTTCTCAAATAGTGGGGAAAAGGTTTCATGAAAGTTAACTTGGAGGAAAGAAACTGTGAGTTGTCTATATTAGCCCAGTGTTTAGACTCCAGACAACAACTTTCTCAAACCAAAGCTGTCTCACTATGCTAAGACTGCACTGCAGGTCTTTAATACAGACAGGTTCAGGGCTGTTATCTTCCTAAGGCAGAAACTCCCCTCACTAGAGATGAGTACACTACAGGCTGTCCTTTTGTTCCTTCTAAAGTTAAAATGCTTACTTGAAGTTCTGCTGCATTTTTAGACAGCTCCAAAATCTTCTTTTTAAGTCCATCGGTGTCCATGCTATTCCTAATATTCTGAAGAAGAAACAGAGAGTTTAGGCACAGCTGAATGGGTTGACAGCTCCTGCTTGAAGAAACCAGGCAAAATGACATCTCCACCCCCAAGCTACTGCCTACTCTAAAGCACCACCAGCATTTATGCATATACATTGTATATGAATTGAAATAGTTTCTGCTACTTTCCCCATTTCTCCAGAGCACTGTTGAGAGAAAACCTCAAAACTTCATTTATAGGCACCATGAGACCTAGAAAACTGAAGAAGAGCTTTCAGGCCTGCAGCATGAGAGTTATTTTTGAAAAGATGCAGTTTAATACCTATTTGGACTTAAAAGCTTTTTAGAAAGACTAATCTTGACCACGGTAAACATGCAAAGAGCAATGACCACCATGGTGTTATGATGGATAACAGATTTTTGAATCCATGAGGTGCTTCTTTTCATTACTGTATGTGATTTAACCTAAATAGTCTAAAACACAGGCTATAAGCAAGTATTAGAACATTTTATCACCCAATCAAAACTGATTCATGAAATATTTACTTTAATGAAATTAAGAGATTAAGAAGCAATAGTTCTCCTCCAAGCAAAAGAAGAAATAAAAAAAAAGCAAGCCAGCCTAGAGATATAACCCCACTAGCAGTGTATTCTCTACAAGCCTCCTCTTGGTTCTTAGCCAGTATTAATGGGTCCATCTGTGAGTGGAGCCCCTACCCACTGCATGTTTTTGGAGTGAAAGCTCCATACAAGGCTCCTCCTTTGGATCTTAAAGGAGGGAAACAAAAGTGAATATAAAATGAAAAAAGTATTAGATGGAGATTGTTTCAATATAGAGCTAGTATATTTATGGCCATGTTAATTAGAATTATTTGGAATTTGTCTGTAAGTATTTGAAAAAGAGAGAGAAAAAGCTGTTTGTCCCTGTCCCCCATGCTTCCTAAACCTTGTTACCACTGCTTACCCAGCAAATGGACAAGCTGGAGCACAGTGCAACTTCTAGATACAAAGTTTTTTGATTAAGTCATCCTTGTGAAATCTAAGATATTTTGATATCCTAATTAGCATGTTAGGCTTCAAAGTCTGACAAACATTTAATTTCTTAATGGTGAGCTTTAACTAGACAGAAACATGTAGAGTCATTTATTTTACCTCTTCCTGGAGAGAAGTAATTTTGATGATGAGAGACTGATTTTCTTTTTCCTAATCAGGTTTATTAAAAAAAAAAAAAAAAGAGAAAGAACAACAAAATAATTTGTTTTAGCATGTCAAGTTCAACATTCAAAGCCAAACCAAGCCAAAAACCAACAGACCACAAACACACCCATGGCCCAGTATGAAGCTGTAGTGTTGTACTGCTTTGCCTCAGAGAACACAGCAAAAAGGGGAGTGCTGAGGTTAGGCCAGCTCATGAACCCTCACTGAAAGGACTGACACAGGCATTTCAAATCAAATTCAGACCACTAGACAATAGGAAGGAGGTATTCAAGCCCAGAGTGAGCAAGTCTAGGGTGCTCACATCGAGTTTCAGATTTGTCTAAACTCAAAGAACTTAGAAGCACAACTGCAAAACTTTAATAATATTTCTCCTTCCCACCACACCACCTCCTCACAAGGTGGATTATGCATGTCATCTAAAATTAAAGTAAAACATACACATACTGTAACAGGATAGCACAAAAACACTTGTGTTCTTGCTCAATATGGAAGACTTTTTTGATTTCTAAATACCCACCATTAGCAGCACACAGGGCTATGGAAGATGGATTTACAGCTACGCCCACACAGCAAGATGCAGAGATGCCATTGCAGTGCAACCACCACGCATGGCAGAGATGCAAATGGACCTTCTCCAGCAAGCTCTGGTGTCTGCCAACACCTGCCCTGGCTGCAGCCACAGCAGCCCTGTTATCAAGCTGGGTTATGCCTCGTTCAGTCACACAGGCTTTGCTACTCAGACACCTGGGGTGCAGTTCGGATGCTTCCTTGTAGGCAGCTCATGCTCTTTGAGACATGTCAAGGTGTGCTGCCTGGCTTTCAGCTGTGAGTCCAGAATGGACAGGTTTCTGTTAGGCCCTTGTCCTGTCTGCTCACCCATGTGGACATGGACAACAGCCTAGAGGTGTTTCAGAAAAGGACTCTTGTGTGGACATCTCAACCAAGTCTCCTGTCCCTGCTGCTTCTAGAAATGTCATGAGTTTTTGGCAGAACATCAACAGCATGAAAACAGACAGGTCTCAATGATGGCAGCACAAGAGCTGTTGTCTTTAGGCATGATTAGATGAGACGGGCCGTTTTGTTTTCTTCACTTAAACTGACAATAGTTTAAAGAAACTTCTGTGCAAAAACTTCATTGTTTTTATACCACTAATAAATCCCATTTCAAACATCCTCAAAAAGTCTCAGTACCTACTGGTACAGAAGAAGCCATACTGCAGATTTTTACAGTCTAAGCTGTCAGGTCATTGTTACAGCAAGCTATGAGATACTGCACAAGGCAGCCTAAGAAATAAGAACACCTACTAGCTGCTTATTCTGGCAGAGAATCTGCTGTCTCTTCTCTTCTGACAGGTTCAGGTTGGTTTTTGCTTCTTCTAGTTCTTCTTCCAGGGATTTGTCTTTCAGCACAGAATGCTGGATGCTGAATAGGGAGAAGTAAAACCAGAAATTGAGTTACTGTTGGTCATTAGATAGACTTGGAATACCAACAACAGTATTTTTAGAAGCCACCAGGGACTTATTCTTTGGCACAGATACTTAACAGAGAAGCAACAACAGAGCTTAAGCCCATCATTTTTGTCCAGTAAGCAGAGGTTCATGGACTCCCCCCTCTATTTACCATGCACTTCTGCTCTCACAGTAAGAGATGAAAGCCCAGGCAAACACCACCTCCAAGCCTGCATGCTTTGGTTTGCACTCACCTGGCAGCCTAGCTTGTTATATACAGCTAAACAGATCAGGTTGCCTGAGCACCACCTCATCTTTACAATACTTCATTGTTAGCTGTTACAGAAGCCATTTCAGTTTAGTTTTCAAGGAGAAGCTCTGCATCATTTTCTTATCCTGATCTGCTACCCCAAACAATGTATAGTTAACCAAAGGGACAAGGCCCTTTTCCTGGCTAGCTCCAGGCTGCAGAGCACCCCATGGTCCAACATGTGGACACATCTCATGCCAGCTATGCTGCAGGACTCTTGCCTTAACCTCCCCAGAAGGTACTGGGGACATAACTATACCACATTTGAATCAATTGGGTCAGATGGGCATTATGAACTCACTGCAAAAATAAGCTCTTACTGGTGGCACTGATTGGTCCCCAGGCTGCAGCAATACTAAGCTATTGAGACAACTCACTTTAGTTCCTCAAGGGACTAACAAAATAGCTCTGACACGTTCATTTCCCCTCTGCTTGGCAGCAAGCGTGTGGTCTAGGATTGGAATTTTTTTCTTTTTTTTGTACTTTTGTTTGATTTTGCTTTTTCCTCAGATTTTACCCGTGATGCAGCCACAGCACCTCATGCTGCAAGAACCAGACTACAAACTGACTGACTGGTTTTATAAGAACCAGGAGGTACAGAGCAGAATAATCAAGCAAGAGGGTTAAATCTTATAGATACCACCTTAAGTCAAGAAAGTTGCTGTCATGAGGCACTAATGAGGCTAAAAGCATAAAGCAAGGCTGGACCACTTGGAAGAAGACAGGTCTGTCCACAACCATTACTCTGTAGTCTGCTGCCATCAGGTTCTCCCACCTTTTTAGTTGTTGACATAGATCCTCATTATCTGCCAACAGCTTATTGTTGGTCTCATCAGCAGCTTCCAGTGTGAGCTTCAGCTTGTTGTTCTCTTCCTGAAGCTTCTGGTTCTTGTACTGCAGATCCGCAACACAGGTTATCAAGTCTGAAGTCTCTCTGTTCCAGTAAAAACCACCAACCAACAGGAAGGAATGATAAAGGTGATCTGATCTAATCTAAGCTTTCTAAAACTCCTGATGCTATGCTGCACTGATTAGAGGTGAGAGGAGAGCCCACAGAGGACTTGTAAACCTGTAGTGTACACCCATTTGCTCTGCACCAAGGTATCAGATCATCTTCAGATCACTGCTATAGACAGCAGGAACTGTTTTGGTTTTAAGCACTTCTTTTTAATGCTCCTTGCAATAAAAGTATGCTACCAGACAAGTGCCACATCTGGATGTCTGCATGACAGTATCTTAACCCTTTGCTAATCACCTCTTAGGGCATGACTAATATTTCTATATTAGATCCACAGTTCCTGGATCCTTTATTTTCTCTTAAACCATCCCCCACTTATGCTTTCAACTGAAACTTGAACAAGGATTAATCACCCTTGAGAACCTGAGAAATGATAGGGAAACAGCAGGAAGCAGATCTTAAGATTTTTGACTATGAAGGAAATGCAAGTTATCTTTGAAAGCTCTAGTGTTTCCCAAGTGCTTTGCCATTAACAGAATGCAAGACAGAGTCGTGACTATAAAAACAAAAACAAAACCCCAAAGACCAGATTTACAGAAGACAGTATCTTCTATTGTCACACACCTAAGAACTTAGGGGAGGGAAGGAACCAGCTCAAAAATGAAAAAAAACACACAGCAAAAATCTGACCACACAAAATTAAAAAGGCAAATTGACACAGAAGGACCAATATATAAGCAGGAAAATTTACTACTGTTTTTAAATCTGAGCAGAAGCTGTGAGAAAGAACATGACAACATCAAGAGCCAGTGCAGACTGAGGTCAGCATTAGAAACTCTGCTGAGGTAGTTTTCTGAAACAGTGGTTCTAGGAACTGCTCTCAAGTAATTCAAAGCTAAGAGTACTAAATGCAGAGAGAGAATTGCTTAAATGGACTTACATGTCTCCTTTAGACACTTCCCCCCCAAAGGCCTCCAAGCTTCCAGAGGTGACATTCATCCGGACATGCATCTCCTTCGCTGAAAGATGGGAGGGGTTGGGTTATAGAGTAAGAAAGTGGAGTTTTACTGAATAAAAACAGAACAAAATGGTCTGTACCTTCAGAGATGCCTTTAGGCACTTTAAATTCCAGGTCTTCCATGCTTGCTGCTGGTTCCTCAGTGGCACCATCCTCCCTGAAACAAGGGAGCGGCAAGGGTCACAAAATCAGTAGGACACTGGATTGCTTACCAGCTCTGAACATTTAATAGCTTCCAGCCAAAATCCACACTGTGGTCACAGGGACATGGTATCATCTTTATTCTAGAGTACAGAAGGTGCAAGCCACAGGAGAACTTTCTACTCCTCTGTTTTCACAGGGGCTTTTAGGAAGTAGAGCAAGAAAAGGCTATTACCACCTTCTCTTGCAGTCTCCAATCCACTCTTTCATGATGGCATGAAACGTTTCCAGGTCCATGGAGACATCCTTCTGATCCGGGTCCAGCATGTTGCACAGCTCTTCAAGACCACTGTCTTCCAGTCCTCGACTAGTTGTATGTCTCAAATAATCAACTATCTTGGAAACTGCTACTTTTCCTAAAAGAGATACAGGTGTCACTGACTAGACTCCCCATTACAAAATTCTGCAAGTGGTCATGCTACTAACTGACACTGCTGTGTATTCAGTTGCCCTCAAGAGCTGCAGACAAGCAATTGATCCCTGTAGTTCTAGTGTGACCTGGAAAGGAATAGTTTAGAGTTTTGGTGTTTTGGTTTGTGTTATTTTTTTGTTGTTGTTATTGTTTGTTTTTTTTTTTAATACAGAAGTGTGAAAGTCTGGTTTACTAGTTCTGTGGTCCTCAGTTTAAGAAGATCATGTTTGCTATGCTGTTACTTTCAGCTGTCTCATCAAATTGAGCAAGCCCTAGGACTGACATTACATTACTCTGCTAGCTGACTCCTTTCTCTACCACCTTTAGTCATGCTTGAGATGGAATTCAGACAAATCCTCTCTTGCTCTGAAGTCTCCTAAAGTTCTCTTTTCTAATAGGAAAACGTGCAAAAGAAATAGTCATTTCCAATAAGGTTGTTTGCAAGAAGCAAGTTGCCCCTCTACTTCCTCTGCACTAAAATACAGCAAAGGTCAGCTGAGTGAGGAATGAGAAGGAGGAGGGAAGAGACAGGCACCATGCAAAAGAGGCACAGCCACATAGCTAAGTGAACTAGTCAGTCTAGGCATACCACAGACTGGCACATCTCAGGAATTATAACATATTCTCAGCCTTGAAAATTTCTTTAGAGAAGAATAAAGCAGAGCAATGAAAAGCCACAGGCAAACCTGTACGCTCCATGTCACATGCACAGAAGATAGTAGTCAGAAGGTCTTCTTCACAGATCAAGGCCACATCATCCATGTTGTTAACTTTGTACCCCAGCGACTGCTTCCATCCTGTGAAGAACAATTTTGTTATTGTCCATCTTTATTTGCTCACAGTAACTTTCATGCACCACAGCTTCTTACTGAAATAGTTTTTGTTACAGCAGGAGAACACATAATATAACTTGAATGATATTTTTTTTTTGTTTAAGAGAAATAAAAAAAAAAAAAAAAAATGCCCAACCAGCTCCCTCCCTTCCACCAATAAACTTCCAAGTAACACCAGGAACTGTTGATAGCTGTAGCCTATGAGTTGGAAACTGGTTTACAAATGAATTTTTGGCAACTCTGGCTTTTCTTTTGCATGAAGTAAACATGCAAACATTTAAACGTTTTAAGAGGCCAGCTATTTCTTTCTTCCCCTTCCAGATATATTGTAGAGAAATCAACATGGTCAGATTATTAAGAAAACAATCCTTCAAAAACAAACATACAAAAATATCACAACACACACAAAACACCCTGAACATAAAAACAAGACCCAAACTCATACATCTTTTAAAGACAGACTGAATTAGCAGCCAAATTTCTTATCCACAAAAAGGAATTGGCAAATTTGAAGAAGTGTTTGACATTGATTTCTCACTTCTTACACTAATATTTTTTAAATAGAAAATTTAGATATTTTATTCAAGCTCTTTTGTGGCAGGTGCACCCACCCCAATAAAGGCCAAAAAGATCTTGACAAACAGAGTAAAGAATTAAAACTTGAAGTCTTGGTTTGGAGGTTGAGAATCCAGCCCTGTGGTGACTGGTCACCACACACATCTGCCCAACCTGTGGCTACCTGTCAGGCACACACCTAGGCCAAGGGACAGGCAAGATAAGGCCCTCAGCCAAAGAAACACCTTGGTTGAGAGAATTTTCTAGACTGCTGGACATAGATGAGCACAGATCAGATTCAACTTGAGCATAAATTGAGCCCTGCTGGAGGGTAAATGGAGCCAGTCCTCCTTGGAGCAGTGAGTCTGAAGCTGTGGACTCCCCTTGGATGGGGATGCTGCCCAAAAAAGCACCTTTGAAGGCTGAGAGCCCTCACCTTGTAGGTGAATGATATGTGTATTTTGGGTTGCCACCCCTAAAACTAAAGCTAAATCCAGCTGTGTACTATTAAATTCCATTTAACTGACATCTGAACCAGCAGTTTACTAATGTTAGTCGGAGCGCTGCACAATTTTGATTAGAATAGATTTCATTTTTAAGTATGTGCCTTGTCTATTTTGAGACTCCAATATTTTTGGACACTGATGAAAACAGCTTTGAAGGAACAGAGGAACAGAAGGGACTTGTGACCCCGAAGAAGATGGAAAGGCACATGGCTCCACATGGTGGGACACCTCAAACCACTGCCCACACAACCCTCTGGACAGGGCCCAAGAAGCTCAGGGAGCTCCAAGCCACAGGTGACAACCAAACAGAGTGTTTGTGGAGAGTACGGGGTGGGGAACACCCACACCCCCCGACTCACCAGGGGCCTGGGGCGTCTCTGAGTGACAGGCCAGTGACCCCTCAGCACTCAGCAGCACAGAAAGCCACCTGTGCTCTGTGAGAGGGGCAGCACGGGGCTCTGACAGCCGCACCGCT